TACTGAATGGTGAGTATGCTTAAGGTCTAATTACATTTTGGTATGGTATTTCACTGTGTTGCAAACTCTCATGGCAGGAACAATACAGCGAAGACCACAATTTGCTCTAAATTATCTTCTTAAAAACTTCCTGAATCTTATATAAACAGTTTTGCTGTCAGTGGAAGTTGTTTCAAATGCACTTAATCTTAATTAATACGTCATAAATAGTGTGATGTTTAATTTTCTTTGTCTTATTTTTTAAGTCCTTTTCCATGAGCCATGCTTTGAGCATGCAGTGTTGCTTGTTCTCTTGGAAAGATAACAAGAATTCTAGTAGTTATCTGTTGCTTCATTTTACATGAAAACAGGAACAAACTTTCTGTTAAAAAGGATGATGTCTTCTAAAGCTACAGAGTTCTAACAGCTATAGTTACCTATATGGTAAATATAAGAAGTTTTCAGGTAAAACATTCATGAGTACATGTAGTTCTTCCCTCCTTCAGTAATCAATGATGTTAGAACAACCTGTGAAGAACAAAATTGCTTGATGACATTCACCTGGCCTTGCTACTCTGAAGATTGATCACAGAGTGATCCCATTAAAATGAATAATACCATTTAAATCAGAAGAATCAGTGATGTCAGTAACAAGCCTTGGCCTGCAGACATAATGGTTTTGACTTGCCTTTAGCTGCCATCTTTTTGATAGTCTTCTCAGAGGCCAAGATACCTATGTACGTACATATTTATTTACTTATTTTTGCTTTTCTGATTATTGATTTTTCTTCCTGACAATTTAAGAAGCCCCCTAATACAGAATATCTCCATTCTAAGCTACCAGCAGGTCCAAGAAGCTGTTAAAGGGATAAGTCAAGAAGCCAGAATCTGTCAGCACTGGTGGCTGCAGCTGCATGCCCAGTTTGAAACTGCTCATAGAGAGTGTGCTGGTTTAGCAAACTGGGTACACAGTTCTGCAGGACCTAACTGCTTATAGAGTTAATCACTGAAATGGGACTGTAGGCTGGGAAAGGTGAAGTTTTATTCACCTGATGGTTGTTTATCATTGTTAAAGTTAGTAAAATAAAACCAGTTATTTTGGAACTATTTTTCTAATTAACTTACAGTTAAAGAATAAAAAATATACTTCCCATATGTTTTAAAGAAGAATGAAAAAATTTAATAAAAAGAAATGTTAAATGGCAGATCTTTGACAGATAAAGACTTGTGATTGCAAAATCTGAATGTTTTTAACTTAGTACATTGTAAAACTAATGCAGCAATTTACTGAATTAACAGATAAACTTCTACCACTTGGATTCTCTAAAGTGTAACTGATTTTTGAGTATTAATCTTTAAAAAAAATACTGATTTTTTTTTTATATATAGACTTGTGCCAATATTAAAACATCACTGCACTGTCTGTTCTTGCAGATAAACATAGGAGTGTGCTGTCAGGTTTATAGTTCCCTGACAGAGATGTGACATATGTATTTAATATGTATATGAAAACTCACTCTCTTATTTTTGGAAGTTACCTTTGACAAAAGCTTAACCTCTACATATAGCATATATTTGTATTTTGTTCACAGTTTGGAAATGAAATTAGATGTTAGTACTACCTCTTTCTCTGGTGGATGTAACTGACTTGATTTAGCCTCAGAAATATATTTTAGTGCTTTGGTTGTTTTTTTTTTTTTAAGCTTACCTTAATTTTACTTGAGTTTAATTCAAGCTAAGCTTCCAGGCAGTGTGTTTGTGAGATTATTTTTTACTGAAGGCAATACAATTCCAAAGTATTTTAGTGCCTCGGTTACAGGTCATTTGCTGTATTTTAAAATAAGTATCTCTTAAATGGTTTATAAAAACTGACTGGAGCAACTGAAACCAATACAGTATCTACTTAGATGTTAAACCATGGACTACACTGAGCCTAAAGTGTTCTGTGACTTGGTAGCTCTCTGCATTCAAATGCAGGCTGGTGAAAAGCACATCCACCCTATGAAGGCAACCTGAGCTTAGAAATACTGTCTATCCTTAAAAATGGCATTATGCTTTTGGGAAGGATCCTGTAACCCCATTTCACCCCCATGTCTTCACAGTGCTGTAAAGTATGGAGGAAGGTACATCTGTGCTAAGGAAGAGCACAGAACTCAGGGATTTTGTGGTATGTTTAAAAAGTCTCCTTATTGGCCCTCGAGCCCTGGATTTTTTTCTCTCGTAGCATAAATGACTCATGAAAATAAACTCAATTGCAAGGCTGAATTTAGTTCTAAAATGCTGTGCTGGACATTGTTGAGGACCGGGTAAGTGCACTGTTAGACAGTAAGGATAGTATCCAGCATCCAGCAGAATTAAAGCTTGGGGTTTTTTACAGGGAGAGTGATATTATCCACTGTCTTTTATGTTTCAAGTGTAATATGCTACAGTGATTTATACATCTGTTATTTCTTTTGCAAGTTTGCTTTGGGGAGGTCTCAACTGCAGTAATTTTTATTATTATTATTTGCTTGGACAGAATGGATTTGCAAACTTGGAAAGTCAAGTTTCAGACTTCTTTTTAACACTTGATTTCATGTACGTGTAGTGAAGAGAATCACTAAGCATCTAAAACCAGATTAATCCCTATGTTGGCATGATTATCTAAAGTAGAGAGTAGAAAGAGGTCTTAATGATAATAGAGAGGAGAGCAATGCTATTTTTAGTGAAAGATTGGATATGAAAGGGAAAGGGTTAGAGTTAACAGTTATATGTGAGAAAGGCTGACAGGGAAATACAGACAATAGTATGGGGAGACTGAGATATGGTCCAGAAATGTAAGAGAAGTAATTTAAGTTGCGAAAGGGAGCAAAGGGGAAGAGTTCAGTGACCACATATGGCTTATTATAAATGTAGAAAAATGATAAATTTGCTGAAACTCAGCAAATTTAGGAATAGATACAGTACCATTACCTAGGAGAAATATCTGAATATAAAAAATGTAATTTTCATGACAGGGTCTTGCTCAGAAGAAAAGGGAATAAATGGTAATACGTGATTAATAAAGATTTCTGTAGTTGTTCTCCAGAAGTAGAAACACTTACACAAAAGAGCAAAGCATTGTGTTTTAAGATTTTTTTTTTTCCTAGAATGCGCTATGGTTCGTATTTCTATAATTCTCAAGATGAAGTAAGGTCCCTGATTCATAGCTTCAGACTACAGATAAAATAAAAATTTTTAATGATAAATCATTGAAATGTTAGAAACTTTTATTGTAAAATTGGTGACTTCTTAATGCTTTCTACTGTTCACATTTAATTACAACATTTGCACATGAAAATGAATGAGTCCAGATAAGTATTCTATAAAAATGTTTTATCTGTCCAGAGCTTTTAAGAACTCTAATGTTATCTAGAGTCTTAAACCAGTATTAACTGATTTAATTTTATTAGTTCTTATTAGCTAGTAATATTAATTAATTTAAAATAATTAAATACCTGGTCCATTTGATCTTATTATTTCATCACTCAATCAGAAGGTTGTCCTGTGTTTTTTCCCAGAAGTTTTATCTGCAATGAAAAATGAAAAGAGAAAAAGAACAAAAGGAAGCTATTAAATAAATTATCAACTATTACTTTCATTTTTTTCAAGAAAGATCCTATAATATTAAGAATTATTACTATATTGTATTTTCTAGATTGAAAATTTCTGAAAATTCTGAATTGACCACTTTTAAACTTTTGTACTTAACAGCAATCTTTTGTACCTCCAAATAAGGTAAAATTAAATAATATTTTATAAACTACATAATCTTTAAAAGAATAAATTCTTACATTAAATATAAAATTAATAATATTTAAAAGAACACAGTCTATTCCTCAGGATAATCTCTTGATGAGCTTACATAAATGATTCCATTCCTGTCTTTTGGCATAGATGTGTGGCATAGATGAGTGGTTATACTTCAAAAAAAAGTCACAGAGAGAGAGAGACATGCTAAAATTCAAGGGCATCTGGAGCTGTCACTGAGATCTAAAGACTGAAAATGAGAATACTGAAAGCAACCCTAACACTAAGCCTTTCAAGATGATACAGTACATATGCAAGATTTCAGGCTGGTCTTTCAAATAGAACTAAGAGAACTGATTTACTATCAACTTGTTCAACATGAATTAAACAAACATGTCAGCAGACTAACAACACTCATACTGTAAATAGTATGTCCTTCTGGAAATACAGGTAGAGAGGGCTTACTCTGCATAATTTATGGTCTCCATACAGTACAATATTGAAAGAGTACAGAAACTGTTGTAAATTCCTGATGAAATGCAAGCATAAGTCTGTTTACCATTAGATGTGATTTACTGCAGTTACATATGTTCTTCCTCTCCCACCCACCTTGTAATTTTTGTAAAAGGTACAGGGGTTTTAGACAAATAACAATAAAAGCTTTTTACTCAGAATTAGTGCGTAATAACTTGTATATAGAATTATCATCTATCTTGTTAGACTTCTTTTAAGCTGTATGGCCTACTTTTAGATATTTTAAGAAGAGTAAATTAAGATACAAAGATGAAACTTTCTTTCAAGACCATAATCAAATAACACATCAAAACTGAAAATAGTGTAGATCTATCAGCTACTTTATATAATATAAGCAAGGAAGACCTGTTATACAGATTATTTTGTGACAGTATGGAGATAAGCAGAATCACATTTTATCACATAGAATGGGAAGTCGGTATCCAATACTAATGATAATAATTATGATGTCTGTGTTCTTATATATAATGCATTTTTAAAACATTATTATCACGGAAAGCAGAATTGGAAAGCCTGATCATCAGAAAATGTTATCAACTGCTTGCATGTATTATTGTATGCTTCTTTATTAGTTTGAGAATGGTTAATTAGTCACTTTGCTCAGACATAAACTTGATTGGTAGTAACTTTTACAAGTTAGGAATTTACAAAAAGTTACTTTTGTAAATGCTAGTTTTACTTAGTGATTAGCATAACTTATGTCCAGAAGTTTTCAATATTTCCTGGTTCTAGATTTGGTTTTTTCTTCCCCCCACTGCCTCTCGTCTGTTTGAGCTGGGATAGAAATTTTAAAGCTTATTTGGGAAGCTTTACCTATAGTATTTCTTCTCAAGTCTTCATAAAAGTTTGCTCTTTAATTGATTTCTTAGGATATTTTATGCTTCCTTCAAGTGGCTGACCTATAGAAGTAGATGCCTGGATTTTTACCAATACTAAACTGAAGTTTGATTATTAGGCCCTTGCTACTATGTTGACATTGCCAATTTAGACACTGATGATCTGCAGGACTACAATGATGGGAATTGTGTGTTGTTATACTAGCTTAAGTGTTAATTGTCAAAGTTCAATCTGAAGCAAGATAGTAATAAGGACATTCCTCAGTATTTGCATGCCTAAACTTCACTCTGTTACCCTATTTGGATAACAAATATCCATCCTCTAAGGAAGAGCAATGAGCATACTAGGCATACAGTGGGAAGTGCTGTTTCTCATACTGTTAAGAGTGCCTCAATCTATGATGGGAACTGAGTAATTCCAAGCCAACTTTCACTCCTTTAAGGAACTATGATATCCAAATATTCAAGAACCTAAAAAAACAACTTCTGCTGACCAACTTTCTAGGATATAATACTACTTCATTAATAACTCTTTTACAAACAGCTGCTTAGAACCAGCACTGATGTCTACAATTACTTTTATAGATCTGACCACTCCTTTCAAAAAAATCTTGCTTTGCAGCTTTTCTGCACCCAATAAAGTTTCCATATTTCAACAATTTCTGTTATATTTTAATTTTGAATAGATTGCTCTTCCCATGCAAGTTAAAAATCTTACTTATTTTTAGAATTGCAGATACGTGATTTTACATTTTCTTAAAAAAAGAGAATTTTTTAATGTAGAGACTATGTCAATCCACACCAGATTGATATAAGTCCCTTCATCTTCCCACTGGAATATAAATTGTGGGTTTTTTTCCTTCAAAATATTTTTACATACACATACATTGATCAAGATATCTGACTGGCTATACGAAAGAGTAAAGTGCATCAAAGCATTTTGAATGATTTAGCTGTAGAATTTTCACTCTAGTTTGTTGTGCTAAACAAAAAGCAGTGTTGTTATTTCCACTTTCATACTAACAACCTTGAATAGACATTATTTTATGTTATTCCTTAGGAAAATTAACAAGAAATAACAGTAAAGGTGAATATATTGGAAGGAGAGTAGTTGCTGCTGTGCTTTAAACATAGTCCTTATCCTTAGGCAATGTACAGGATCTCCAATGTTTTCATTAGTTATTAATTGTACTTGCTTTGCTAGTTTCATTCTAGAGACAGAAATATCAATGAGTCATGAAAACCCCAGTATAGCTGTTTCTATTCAAATGACATACACTAAAGGTATGAGACGATGTCTGTGGTCTTCCTTTAATAAAAGTGCTTTCTCTTAATCACCTTTTCCTCTGTTAAGAACCCTGAAAATAAAGGTGAATCCAAGTTCCTTTTTAGCCAGATGATTAAACATTCTCACTATTATATAATACAATTTCCATTTTATTTTAAACATACTTTGCATGATATAAAAATATTGATCACAGTGAGCTTTAACAATTGTTACTGCTATAAACAGAAATGCTGCACGATGGTTTTAGTGGAAATAAATTATATAGTCATTATCTCTTAAAAAAAATCACAAGAAGGAGAACCTAGGCTGTTTGGTCATTGGCAGAAAATAAGTCCTTATTGAGTTCTTTACAAAACATGAACCCCAGTTATCTTCTACATTTGCTTTCCACATCTTGAGAAAAGCACAAGTCTGTCTCTGAATGCCCCACAGGGTCTCTGGTGAACATTTAATTCCAAATATTAGCAAAGTTTCTGTTCTTCTTTTGTTCTAATGGAAAAATGTACACCAACATAGCAAGTAGTGATCTCTTCACTAATTCATAAGTGGTCTTTTCCAGTATGTGGGTACACAGCGGCACACTTCTTCACTAAAGTAAAATCCAGCATCACAGCGTTTCGTTCGGACTGTACACGGTGGTCTGTAACAGCTAAAGGAATGAAAAAAGTGGGCATTAGTATAATATGATCATTTATGTTTGCTTGGAGTAGAAAGCTGCATGCCTTTACATTGCATTCTGAAGAAAAATCAGAGCCTATTTATCATGTTTCTGATAAATATTACTGGAAATGAACAGAATTAGTACCTACTTCATTAAAATAAGTTTGACAGAAATAGAGCATTGAACCACAAACCACATGTACCTAAGAAGCAGCAGAATTTTTCTTCTACCAATTCTTTGACTAAAAAAGAGAACTTATACAAAGATAGTATCTGTTGTTGTCCCTGAACCCTTCCTTTTTCTATTTTATTTTTCTATTAAAACAAGAACTTGACCTAAAATAACCCTACAATAACAATGCTGAATACTTTCTGGTGTATAATGGAGACAAAGTACAAGTCTGGCTTTTTTTTTTTTTCCGACACTGGCAATGAGTCAAAAGACAAAAGTATATATATTGAATTTCATCACAGTTATACTTAAAACTTGCACTTAAATAAGTTGCTGATAAGTCAGAATGCTGATGCTTGTTTTCGATACCAAGTTATTACTTCACAATAATTTGTTTATGATATGAGGTCTGCATTACAATTACATTAATTCACACTAGCTAGTTCAACCAATGAATCTGGCTGTGAGGAAAAGAGTAAGGAATGAGGAAGACTGCAAACATGACATTTATTAATTAGTCACATCTTGTTCATTGTTTTCAATGTCATTTATCATGTATTAGTTCACTGATGTGGTCTCTGTAATTAAGGGAGTAACATTATTTTGTGCCACTTAGTATAGATACTTGAAATCAGCGTAGCAGCTCATGGGACTCTCTTGAAGCTCTATTCATCTCTTCCCCAAAAAGTCTGGAAATGATGGTAAAAGGCAACCAAATGGTTTGCAAAAGGACCTAACTGTGAGCAAACAGGCAGCCAGCAGTAGGTTTGTTCTGGAAAAAAGGTACTCCATAGATATGCAAGGGATAAAACACTGAACTCACCTTTTTGCCTATCTCTGTCACGAAAATTTAGACCACTTCGTGTACTGAATGACAGTAAAATGAAATAAGAAGAAAAAGAGGCAAAGCCAAACTCTTCCACCCATGATTGTGCACAATGTAAAGCAGTTACACAGTCATTAGGTATGAGGAGTTCAGTTTGTTTAGAATTCATGACTCCTTGTGAACTTCAGCTTACAGAGGAGAGTGCTATATAGCATCTCTCCCATGTGATTTTATGTCCAGCAGCAGTTAAGGTCAGGTTACCATGGTCTTATCCTTATTTGGGACGTTTCAGCTGAGCAAAAGTCCCTATCCTCCTCTAAAATGCTTTGCAGCTAAAGTGCCTAGTTATCTGGCCCTACCAATACTGACCAAAAATAAATTTTTGAGGTGATAGCACAGGGTGAATAGCAGTGGAGTCATTGTAACTACATAAACGTGGTTTCCTTAGGAAACTGCTGAACAATAGACCTGGTCTTTCAAAAGATTTGGGCTGAATGCTGTTTACGGGGCGTTTTCATGTGACAGATGTCTGTTTTGGTGAGGATAATCTGAGCATGCTGGAACTAAGATAGATGTTCAGTCACTATACACAGTTCTGGGCAAGTCAGCGGCAACTTTGTCTTTACAGTCAGTGATTTTTTGCTGCAGAATGCCCAGGTTGTCATTGGGGTAGTCTTAACAACACCACAGATGAAACAAGTAGAAATGCTACTTCTAAAGCTGCTAACAGCATCATCAGCTTAAAACTCAGTATGCTTTTCTTTCTTTTTTTTCCCTTTTTATCTTTCCTCCTGTGCTTTGTAGATGACTTTGTATTCCTTTTCTATGAAGCAGGGGATAACACTAGAGGCAGAGGCATTTTAGATACAGTGCATAGAAGTATTGGTGCTTCAAAACCAGAAGCTACAAGGATTACTTCTCTCCACAGGGAGCTGTCTAGGCCACAGCTGCAGGATTCTGCTCCTGTCTAGGGCTCAGGTATCTTGCACAAAGTTATAGAGTGGTACCTCTATTTATGTGGTCTCATGACAGCAAGGGATCTTTCAAAGACAAAGAGGATGTTACAGAAGATATATTACAGAATTTTATTCCTTTTTGAGTTAGCATAGGTTTCTCACGTTTTGGCTCTGTCCAGCACAACCTAAGTTCTTTCTTAAGTAGGATAGACTGCATCTTCTGTTTTCCTTGACAGTGCTAACATCTACAGGACTATTGGTTGTAGACATATAGAGTAACACCATATACAAATATTTCCTTCTGCACACAAACTGGTTAGAAAAGAGAAACAGCTAAAAGCATCTTATATCACATTGTCCTCAGAAGTAAGAAAGCAATTCAAACTCTATTATATTCAATAATAACATAACAGAGAAAAGCTGAACTCAATTTCCTCTTTTGAATACTAAGTCTTTAAAAACCCAGATATTTATTATGGCATTTCTTAGCTTCTTAAATGCCTCACTTCTCCAGGTATGAACGTTCTCTTAAAATGCACATGGTTTATATTTCTTGCTGGAAGTGCACACTAGAGTAGTGCCAAGACTTTGCAATATGTAAAGCTTATGTAATCAGGTTGAATTCTTTTCCTCTGCAAACATAAAATTGAAATGAGTGGAATGATAGAGAATAAATAATTTCTGATGTTTAATAACTCTATTATTTCAGTCAAAAGGCCAAATGTAGAAAAATAGGTAATGTCCATTACTATTAATATTTTCTCCTATTTTAGTGATGTCAACATGTGTCATTCCTAAGAGTAGACATTTTTTCATTAAGATGAACTAATATATATGTGGAAATATATTTATTCCAACTAATTACATGTTATATTAAGAGTTATATAAGGTTTATTTTTGATAAGCAATGTATTACTAGACATTTAAATGTCCCAATTTGCTATTTTCCATTTCCAGTGCCTGAAAAGTTACTTGTCACTGATACAATAGAAATAATTCACCCCTTTTAACAAATAAGTGATCTTTTTGCTCCAAATTGCATTGTTTCTGGTTTAAGAAATTTACAAGAGAACTGACTTTACCAGAGAAATTTCCTCACATAATATACAAAGCAGAACTAATACTGCTTGTTTCTCAGAACCTAAAGTCATCCACATTTTTTATATAGACTGCTAATGCTATGGGTTTAGCAGACATGGAAGGAAAAGGTCCTGTGATATATAAAGAAATTGCAGTTTTCTTCCTGACTAAATCCCATTTTAAATGATGGATGCAGGCAGTCTATTTTATAGCTACATATGTCTACTTTTCACAGAAATCACCCAGAGCAGGGTGATTCCAAAATTTACGAAGCGTAAATGAATGACGGTATCTCCAGAACTAAGGCCTGAAATCTAACTAGGAATATTTGACTTATTTGAATATTTGAGTTACCTAAATTGAAATATTCAGTTCTTGGGATAAATAGTGGGACTTTAAATAATATAGAAGACAAGGAGCTTGAACTTAGAGTTCATTTTTGTGAAAAGGAAAAAAAAAAATCAGTAGTAGTAGCAAGAGTACTAAATATGCTTTAAAATACTTATTATGACTAGTAGTTATAAATGTCATAAAAGATAAAACTGAACTGAAGACAGGCTTACTGTTTACTTAAGACTGCAAAGCAATTCAACCTACAGCTAATGTCACAACGCAGAATTTTATGCCTTAAACACAATGAAAGAACTAAAGAAAGAGTTTTTACCTGCATGTCTGGTGATGAAACCTTTTTCCTTTTAAGAAGCATTTATTGGGAGACTCTATACATTCACAGACGCATTTTGCAGGATTTAGAGGTTGATGTTTAGGACAGGTCTTTTTACATAGACACTGGCACTTTTCTGCATCAAATTCCTTGTTGGGCCCACAGGAAGCAGGGATAAGTTTGTTTTTGCACATACACTGACATGATGATCTGTCTAATTCTTTGTGAGGTCCACAGCTTGAGGGCCTCATGCCTCCTTTGCAGACACATTGACAGGTTTCTTCATCCAGCTCTTTGTTTGGTCCACAAATATGGAATCCTTCAGATGTATCTAGAAATACAGTAGAGAAGTTGCACTATTACCAGAATTTTGTGTCTACCCACTCACCTAGTTTTATGTGAAGAAACAACAGCAAATCCATATCTTTAAGATGTTTCAAGAACAAGTATATGTCAAAAGACAGCAATATTATAAATAATATTATGAATACAGAAAAAGATACAACTAATTACTTCTTCTTTGTTTTTAATTTCTCTTTTAGTTGAATCAAAACGTAGAGCTACATTCAATCTTATCAGAAAAGTGCTTACCAGAATCTCCAAGGTGAGAAGAGAAAGCAAAATCATGCTGGGACAAACATCTGCAAATTTGATTATTCCAAATATGATTTTTTGGACAGGTCTTGTTTGCCACATGACACCTGTGAAATTAAATATGCTGTTCATTTACTACCACAAGAATTCAAGAGGAAAAATAATATTTTTTAGGTGTTGATTGCTTTAGTTTCTCTCCCCTAAAAATATCTTTCTAAGATTGTCACCTCATTCATAATCTTATTTTTCACTCCTATCAAATCTGTAACTAATTAAGGTTCTCCTCCACACAGGGATCTGCAACCATTTGTTGAAGTAACCACCTCACATTTCAAGTTTCAGTTATAACTTCTAGAAGCTGATATTTGTACTTTGTTAATGTAGTTTGGAAACAGATCTAACCATCTAGAAAATAGAAAAGTATAAAAAACATACCAAATACTGCATAGTGGTAACAACATTTTTTATGTTGTTTCATGAAGTACAAAAATATTTCACACATAAGATGCCAAAAGACAGCAGATAATAGTTTCTGAATGAATGCTATAGACAAAGCTTTGATTTAAAAAATACAATCAGTTTATCAGATTTTTTTCCCCTTTATGTGAAAGTTATGTTGTCATTAACTGACACTTTCTCATTAATCACTCAGATTCTGGACAGGATTCTTGAACCTAAAGATATAGACATCAGCAGTGTCTTCACTGCTTCAGCAAAGACTTTAGAAATAAAAGTGAAGAGACTTCAGCAAAGTCTCTTCACTTTCGAAATAAAAGACAATAAACAAGTTAACACCTTCTCAGCAGCCAAGGTAACTATAGCCAAAAAAAGCAAAAAATCCAAGCAGCAGCTGTTGCCTTTTTAAAGACTGAGTGAACTGAGCTAGCACAGATAGAACGTTTAAGCGTATTATCCCATCTTCCTTGCTTGCAATTGCTTTATCACTAGAGCTGACATTACAACTTTGAACACTTCAGGCCTAACTTCATGTATGCAGGCTGTGTCTTCTATTCATTGTTTCTGTAGTATTTCTAAAATCTGTCAAGGCAACACATATATTACACATTTGATGCACTTTTCTTTCCCCTGAGCACCATTACTCATGCATTCAAAAATGCAGGTTCTGGGACATTCTTCTGTGATCATCATTCAAGTACACCACTCCCCTCCAACACATTAAATCACTCTGATTGTAAAGGCTTCTGTAGTTTAACATCACCCTACATTGCCTCATGTTTTATCAAACTGGTGTTTTCTGATTTTATTCCAGTAATGTTCTCACTCTTGCTCCCTCACTTGGCACATTTCCTTTAGCCTGCCTTCTGATTCTGCTTGAGAAATAGTAAAGAAAATTTACAGACATATTACTCTATGCTGTTAAAAAAATAAATAAATAATAGAACAAAAAAAACCCAAACCAAACCAAAACCAAACAAAACCAAAACAAACAAACAAACCAAAAACAAACAAACAAACCAACCACCACACTCACACCTGGAGCAGCCTGGCTCTAGCTGTGAGTATTTAAAACTAATTACAGAAGGAAAACAAGGTGACAGTATGAAGAAAACACCAAGTGCATGTGAATTCATGAACAGACAATGTTGATAGAAAGGTCAAATTACCAGAACTTGAACAGAAATAAATGAATTTCAGTATCAGTATCCCAGCAAAAGGAATGGAGCTGCTTGTTTACAAGTCTGCTCTGGTTTCTAGTACAGACAATTGGCTGAAAATTTAAAATGACATTTTAGGGAAGCTCATGAGGGCTAGAAAAAAAATAATCAGATGCAAAACCACTTTGCAGAAAATGTCATCACCTCTTTTCAAATTATCATCCACTCAACTGAAAAAAAAAATGTTGAGAGAGAAAGGTTATTGTAGAGACTTGATCTGAATTACATATCTTGAAGTCCTCTCTGTTCCTCCCTGCCTCTAATCATGAAACTTCTAAAATAGGATGACAGTTTTGTAACTCAGGTGTATGTCTTGATGACATTCCATATAAATGGAGTAGAGTACTACTTATGATACCATTAAACCAGGAGGCATTCTGAAACACTGGCTAATATCAACTGACATGCCTCCATTCCACAAGTACTTAGAAACAGCTACTAGTTTTTAGAAGGGGGAAAAGAAAGGAAAAAAGTGGGAGAACAGGCAAAGACCTAGACCTTAATTCTCAGGATAAAGGCATACAGAAAACATATTTTACATAAAAAAGATAAACTGTTTGTATTATATTTTAGATGTGGTCTCTCTGTTCTTTCTACTGTATGCCTGTGCATCTCGGTATAATCCAGCCTTGAATTCTTATTAAAGCCCAAGGGTTACTACCCTGTACTCTTAGACTTTTCAGTTATACATAAGAAAGTAATTTATATATTTCTGTTAAAATGAGCATGTACATAAATAAATGCACACGTGCAGATCTGCCACTGTGACAAGAGTGTAGATTTCCAAGTTTTGGCCTAAAAATAGCTTCACTAGCATTCAAACCTATAAATCAAAATGTTAAGGAAAAAATAATAAGCTGAAAAGAAATACTTTGGTACAAATTAAAAAACACTAATGGGATTCTGAAACCCATCCAGGAACCCACCAGGAACATGCAAATATCTTTCCTTTCTAGAATCTAGAAGCACTCAATTTAGTACTCTATGGGGTTTTTTTCTGTTTTATTGTACAAAGCCATAGATTCTAAACATAGAGACAGTACTGAACACTAGAGAAGGCCTGTATATATTCTGATCTAGATGAAGCACCTTTGTTGAAGCATGATTCTTTACTTACAGAACAGACAGGCACGTCTGCTGTTCAAAGTCTTGTATTTGTACACCCACTTCCCTCAACCACAGGTAGCTGTTTCCTGGTCAAAATAACTCTTGCACTGGTAATTACAACAGCTCTTAACCTGGAAACACTGAGAGGCTGGCAACAGTCAGCATAATTTGACTTTACTATTGACTCTTGGTTTTGCATTTTGGTGTGTTTTTTTTTTTTTTTTTTTTTTAATAATCTGTTCATTATGCAATTAAAAAAAACTATTCATAGATTTATTTCCTAATATATTTATAATCCACTGTTAACAATCTATGATGATTTGTATTCAAATTGAATACAATCTGAGTTTAACTGGAACATGTCAGAAAACATCCAGACTTAAGCTAAGTATTTTTCTCTGTGGTTTCACTCAGTTTAACATCTCTGGGAAGTTTGCACTATTCACTCACCTTATTAAAAATGTCTACAATTAGTTCCAATTCAGCTTCTATTAATTAGTCCTTCCTTAAAGCAACTATTATATATTTTTGGCCTCCTAAATACATGTACATCATGAAATCATCACTCAGGAAAGGGAAGACAAGTCTCATACTTACTGAGTTTGTGTTGCTGGCAAGGAACGTCTTATGATAGAATGAACTTGTCTGTAAACATCCAGCTTGGACATGCATCGGCAGGACGTGTGATTGGCAAAACTCACGGTTACGGGTTTGGGGCCATGAGAAAGAGGCACTGTGATCTCAAACAACTGCAAAGGGGAAAGCAAAGCAAAAAAACCTTTCATACAGATCAGTAATGGTCCAACTAAAACTAATGTAAGGACATACCAAAAAAAACCTAGGAGGAAATTAAGTTCATTTTTCTGCTGTTTTCCACCATTCAGTTGCACATTAAAATATACTGCTAAATAATTATTATGTGCAAAGTTAATACAATAGCTATGGTATGACAATAAACATTTTTAGGATTAAACTTTCTTACGTGCCCGTTTGCATACTGTAACATTTAACATAAAAGTGTAAAATGTAAAAAGAACTCATTTTTCTAGGAGATGATTTCAAAAATGGCAGTCTTTTAAAAAAATCAAAAATGAAACATTTGGAAGGTGCTTCAAAAAGCTGAAAAAAAAATAATATAAAAAAACGGTTAAGTTACAACCTAATACATCAGTAATATAATTAAAAGAGCTTGTGTAAGAAAGGAACATATTGGACTTAGATAAAACCATTTTTGGTTTAATAACTCTAGAACTGCAGCATACTGTATTTTTAAAATTTTTTAGTATTTGTATCATTGCAAATTATATGCCTACCATAATGGAATATATCTTTAACTATTAATTTGTTTTCAAGGTATTAAGAAATAACCACTGCTAATAAAATAATCATGTATGTGATGATTATAGTGGGAAATATATTTCAACTGGTAAAAGGAACTTCAGTAATACATTGTGGTAAAACTGACAAACAGTGACACTCATTACAGTTTTCAGTTCAGGACATCTACTTTATGAAATTGAACAGGTTCACTGTAAGACTCGAATCTCAAGCCTCCTGAAAAGTTAGGATAAATCCATTAGGTCAAAGTCTTAAAAACTAATTTTTTGTAGTGTTCTAAATAGGACAACAGCTGCACTGCTCATTTCAAGTGTTTAGTCATTCTTCTAAATATTTTTAAGAACATTTCTGCATCTTCTGGGGACTTAATTACCTTTAAAAACATGTTCATTAGTTATTACTCCAGTTGGGTTTATAAGACTGTATAACAAGACTTTAATTTTTATCTGAGATCTATTTGCAATGCTCTTTTATAATCAGTAACTTTATACATGGCATATGGGCAGCATGAAAATGTAATTAAATACTGGTAATTTTAAATGCTTCAAAATATGAAATACATCTACAGGATGTCTTAAAAACAGTATCTCGCACTGAGGAATGCAAGTGACAAACATGCAGGTGCAGCATTATGGGATGTATTCACCAAGTAAAAGGGTACTTGTGCAGCCAACAACAAAGCTCATACTATTCATATCTTAAACTATGCAACTTAAATTGTATAAAGCATCATCAATTCTAATAGATATTATCTATTTTACAAAACAGATTCTGACATCATTTAGTGACTGAATCTTGAAAAATGTTTAACATTGGAGTGTCACCACACAAGACCCGAAATGGCCAAACTATTACATTTGCATTTTATTCTGTTACAGAAGATTACAATGCTATTATTTTTTCTGCAAAAACATACTGCATACCTTATATAGTTTTAAATGTTGTTTTTCTCCCTCACTAGACTCTAAAAATGCTAACTGGTATGTATTTACTTCTGTAGAAGGAAAGCAAAAAGAGAAAATAGTTTCCTGCATATTTCAAATACTGATGAAAAAAACTATCCATCTAAGGTACTACCATGAAAAGAATTTCTATTATTAGAAAGACTTCTAGACAAAGCATATTAACACCTGTATTCTTGTTCCATCTGCAAAACAAGTAACACTTCTTAAAATTTTGGTCTTGAGTCATTAATAAGATAAAGGCAGAAGTCCCTGTCTAGTTTAAAAGTTTAGTACCGATAAAATCAATGCCAAATTATCACCAGACATACTTCCAGGTGGAAAGAGACTTTCTAATCAACTTTTTATTATATTTGTAATCCTTTTTGCTTTTCAAACCAATATTGGATCCATTACCCTTATCTATTATAAAATTTCCTCTAAAATTATGACAAAATTCTTATCAAGATGCCTCATGCAAGAAGAGCAAGAAACATGACACAGAACTATCATTTTCATACTAATATGCTTTATGTACCTATTATTTTTTTAAAAAAAATCCAACTATTTGAAGACCATCACAGATTTTGTTTTAATGCACAAACTAGGAAATTGGAAAGGAGAACGGTGGTGGTGTAGATGAAGAGACAGAAAGGACCGTGTTTATGAAAAATAGCTTTCCTTTCTGCATACAGTACACATTGGAGAAAAATACATGCTGAGTTCTTTGAGTATGTTTTTAAGTACTGATCTTTAATCAGATTTCAAAACTCACCTACATACAAGATTTCTACCTTTCCTGAAACAAGCATTGCTTTCTGAACAGCACAGTTATTGAGACCTCTGAAAATCTGGACTGTTAAGAAGCTACAGATGCAAAAGCTTTTATTATATTTAATACCTTCTAATAAAACCAATTCTTAGAAGACACGTATGAATTGAAGGACAGAACAGAGAGTTAATGAATTACAATTAATTACAATACTACACATGTAAAGAGGATCTTGTTTTTCTTGCTCTTATGACAGCTTCTTCTTTAGACTAGAAGGACTTTGTGCTTCGCTTTCCAGAAAAACTGTTTATTGTTATACAAAGTATTTCTTTGCTTTGGTGGCTAAATTAATTTATTCAGCACAATCATCATATGTGCTAATATCCATTGTATCAGCACACTTAAAATTATTATTATGCTCACTGACTTATGAAATATAAATTATCCAAAATGGTTTTTTTCATACCAGGATAAAGGAAGGTTATCATTCTAGATACTTTTCAAATACAGGATATATATGTACGTTTTTTTTCCCAAGACTTACACTATGTTCTGATGGACGTTAGTTTATTTTGGCAAGTTTCCCTCAAATTGATTGAGTTTAAGTTTCCATCACTTGTGATCTTTGCACTTCCTTAAGTGTCAGCAAGGCCAGCCAAATATAACCAGTGTAACAGAGTACAATGTGTCTGGCGAGATTTTTAAGGTAAGGATATAAGACTAATTTCAAAACTAAACATCTCTATACTGAAAAGAATGAAAATAAACTATTTAAGAGATGGTACATCATTCTTTATTTTATTAACTTTCTTGAAAGACAGTATTTCAAAGTTTATGTGTGATACAACAACAGGTAACTTGTCTGATGTAATAAATTTAATATTTATTTAATATGCCTTTTTTTTAATACTTTTTTTTTCCTTCCAGAAATTTCAACAAAAAACACCATTTGGAATTTACATATTGCCACCATTAACAGTACCTACCATATGATTTCAATAATTAGTCTTACACATAAAAACGCATGGGAAGAGGTATAAATAGTAACGTTCAAAACAACTGAAAAGTCTTGTGACATATGCATATCTAAATTTTGAATAGGAACACCATGTAGATCTCAAACATGGCCAACAATTTCAAGCTGATAACTTGTTCCCTGTGAAAAAAGCTCCACTAAATCTAATGTCGAACTGCTTGGATAGATATTTTCCTTTGAGGGATTATAACTATATACATGAAACAAGAAGATATAGGACCTTTACAACAAATGATGTGAAAGAAGTCACCCTGCCAGCCAAGAGGGAGAATGGAATGAGACGGCTCTTTGACATCTGCTCCCTGCTTCCCTGCAACCTACAAACAAGTTCCTAGAGGTGGGGCATAAAAAAAGTGCAGCTCAGGGACAGGCTGTTGCTGCACCAGGTAGTTCCAATCTTTGAATTATTCTTGTCATGGAAACAGAGAACAGCTGTTTGATTGATAACAAATTAGAGAACAGCTGTTTGATTGATAACAATTTAGAGAAAAAGACACAATGCAACCACACCACAAACCAAAAGAAAAACATTCCCTGTAGACCTTTACTAGACAAGCCACCACTTATGAACTGGGGTATTGCAGTGTCACAGATAAGAAGATCTAATGCATTTTATGAATTAGCCTAGGGGGTCTTCAAAGCTTTTTGTAGACCTTATATGATATCTTAATTAGGAAACTTAATAAGAAACTCATATCTCAATCATGATTGTATAAACATCCCGTAGCAACTACAGAAATGGTTTTTGTGGGAAAAAAGATGGTATTAAAAGCAAAGCAGAATACTTTTCTATTTTTCTCTCAGTAAAGTCAAGTAGCTAGAAAGGAGGAACACAGCCTGAACTAAAGAACTATTGACCGCTCTCTGGACCACCAGAGTGTTCCACAAGGCAATCTGGGAACATCTGACCTGGTCCACCGTCCTAGGAATCAATGATTTGCCCCCATAAAAATAATTTCTGTGCTTAGTTCTTTTATTTTTAATTAATTTTGATGAAAGCTGATATCAGCCTACTTTATACTTCAATGTCTGGAACTAGAGCTTGCCTCACAGTAAGGCCTCCAGCTGAAAAATTAATTTCCCATTAAGCACTTTTTCTGCAGGGTGAACATTATGAAAATATCTTATGGAGTTTATGCACTAAAAATAAAGCTAAAAAATGGTGAATTATGAAAAAAAATTCCTAGTTACTGATCATTCGTTCCCATTTCATTCAGGAAATAATAGAGAAAAAGTAGTGAAAATAGATGTGTAGGGTACCTGAATTCCACAGAAGGTCTTGAATCCAATAGTTTTTTTCTTCCTAATTCTCATCTAATATAGGGTAAGCTGTGGTCACATAATTTTAAAACTATTTGAGATGGCGACAGATGAAGAGATATAGCTACAGGTCTCTTCCTTTCTTAAGGGTTTTTTAAAACTGCATTCTGTCAAGGACCAGATAAAACTGGAAAGCAGAAGCAAGATAGAAAACTCAGAGATTAAATCATCTGCTTTTACACAATAGGTAAGAAAATAAAACAATGTTATTGCCTCTTTCTTCTTTATGATAAGACCTTTAAGATTTTCCTTTTCAGAGTCTTTCAAATGTAACTACAACTACACCAAATCATTACCAATAACATCAAGAACTTCAAAAGGAAACTCACTGCTAAACATTTTCTGCTGGGTAAAAACCTACTTCATTCAACAGACATGACCAGAAAGATGAAGAGAAAGATATTATTTACCCTAAACTGATGTGGTGCTCAAAGAGCAGGAAATCTGTGTTACATGGAACAACTTTCTCTGTGACAAGATCATCCTTTGTTTCAGTAAGCTAAACTTTATCAATAAATGTTAAAAAAAATAATCATATTTCTTGGGGTTTAATATGAAAATTATATTTGCATCTTAAAGCAACTAAGGAATTCACTGTATCTTAAAATAATTTAGTCTTAAATGAATTAAGACAATGGTTTCTCCTATTAATGGGAAGAACAATAGGGCTTGAAAAAAACCAGTGTTGTAGTTTTCCTTCTTCTTTTTTCTTTAAGCTATTTGAGTTACATTATTCCTGTTCTGTACGGGTGTCTAACACTAGCTTAAATTTGGGATTGAAAATTCATGGTAAATTATACCATTTCAGACAAACAGATTTGGTGTGAAATGAAGGTAGAAAATGCATTTAAAAAATTAGCAGTTTTTTTCTGTTTTATTTATGTCCCTTTTTCCTAATTCCCTCTCACGAAGCCTCAGAACACTAAAAAGTTTCACGATAAAGGAGTGACATTTCCAAGGGCTACTATATTATAGCTGGCTATGCAGTCGTATTTATGGCATCTTCAGCCAGATTAATCTAGCTGGAAAGAGGAAGCAAGATTTACACTAAAAAGTGAAAAAAACCACAAACAACAAACCCCCTACTGTAACAACAGCAAAATAGCCTAGCACTTTTAAGTATGACTATTTTTACACATTTTTCGAGGAAAATGTTTTTGTAAGATAACTGTGATAATTTCTTTAGCTACTTAAAATAATGTAACATATGCTTCTCCTTTAAAGGCAGCTCACGAGCTTAGTGCATGATCTCTGCACACTCCTACCTGTACACTAGCCCTGAACTGGAAGAACAAAACCCACACATACACCTGGAGGAAGATGCATTACAGCAAAACAAGTATTACAGTATGCTAATATCTCTTAATACAGTAAAACTCAGTTCCTAATAGGCTTTATTTGTAACATGTATTCTGTCTGCACATGTCTACAACAGTCCACACTAATAAAATAGTGTGATAGTAAGATAGGCTAGTTTTCCATAGAGTGCTTGCCTCTATGGAAATACCACTTACCATACAGGTAAGTGGTAGATGCAAAAAAAAGAAAGGGATAGAATTAAGTTTCATGGGTAATCTCAAAACTGAGAATTTCCCCTAAAAAAAAAAATATATATATATATATATATATTTGGGGGAAAGAGTGTTAAAACATTTTTTTCCAGGCAGTATTCTTCATTTGTTTTTCTTATCAAGTCTGGAAAATACCTACAAAAACCAGCTGATATATTTTCCTTTGTCACAGTAGCAATAAGAAGGTTTAAAATATGCGTGATCATATATGGATTTGCAAGGAGCACTTGGACCATAATAAAAGAGTGAGAACTTACTGTCTTGCTGATGTAATTTGTGCTGATGTTCATACACTGGAGTCCTTCACTATTGCAGCAACCTCCACATCTGTAGATGGATACACATGGGGGTTTAAAGAAGGTGTTTGTAGTTGCTCCAAACTCTTTTCCCACATCCACACACACTTCACGTGGCATGCACTGAGTTTTTCTCCATTCAGTATCAATACCTGCCAAGTTATAGGGAATGTCATGTGTTATAAAGTAACTGTTTAAAAACAATACTCTCCTGCAGTAAATTAGGACTCTTTTTAAACTTTAGAACCATAATATCCATTGCTGGAGTCACACCCCTTAGTTAGTGATATACACATTTCTCTATGTTAACTTTTAGCTGATTTTTCTTCTTCATAGGAATGTGACATATTGACATGGAGCAGAAGAAAAGTCACAGCAGAGCTAAGAGGGAGCCTAACAGGGTGGGGGAGACCTTAAAACATAGAATCATAGACTGGTTTTTGATGGAAAAGACCTTTTATGGCCACATAGTAAAGCCTCCTTGTAATGAGCATGAACATCTTCAGCCAGATCAGGTTGCTCAGAGCTCTGTTCAAACTTGAATGACCTTGAATGTTCCCAGGAATAGAGCATATACCATCTCTCTGGACAACCTGTTCCAGTGTTTCACTTCCCTCATTGCAAAAAACGTCTTCCTTATACCTAATCTGAATCTGCTTTCTTTTAGTTTAAAATTATTACCATTGTTCTATCACAAGAGGCGCTGCTTTAAGACATCTCTCCCCATCTTTCTTCTAGGCTCCCTTTAGGTACTGGAAGGCTGCTATAAGGATGCTCTCTCAGCCTGTCACCATAAGAGAGGTGCTCCAGCCCTCTGAGCATCTTTACAGCCCTCCTCTGGACCTACTACACAGGACAACAGGTCCACATCCTCCTTATGTTGGAGGCCCCCAGGCTGGACACAGTACTCCAGATGGGGTCTCACCAGAACAGAGTAGAGGGGCAGAATCACTTCCCTTGACCTGTTGGCCTGCAGCTAAAGCTGTACACGTCCTTTGTCGTTTGCCTGGGGTAAGTCTTATCTTGGGTAAAGTCTAAAGAAGTACTGCACATCTCTTTTAAGTTATTTTAAACAGCCCTCCACAGTATTTCATTTAGATACTCTACATTAGAAATGTTAAATTTTACACACTTAATGTGACAATAATTTAAATACATGTTTAGTTTGCTAACTACAAGGGTAGTATTTAAAGCAAAAGGTTATTATTTATTATTTACTTATTATGTATTTATTATTTATTATATACAAATGTGACTTGATCTGAAGGATGATACTTGTGCCCAGATTATCCACACAAAAAGATTTTACATCATGTTATAGTCTTTTACCAAATACAATCTTATACTGAACAGTCCTGAGACTTGCAGCTGTGCAAGTCTCTTTATTCTCTTTTGGCACTAGATTATAGTAGGCTATTCACCAGGAATAGAAAATTTGCCTGATGTGTACTTGAAAGTCTCCATTAAGATATATGAATTCCAATATCATGTAAAAAAATACATCTCCTGCTATAAATTGTAAATTTCTCTGCCTACACGCACTTGTTTAAACTTTCAAGCTAATGTATTTTGTATTCAAGCCATTTGAAACACTAAAGGATATTGACATATTTGTTTGAAAGTTCTTTTATTTCTCATTTTAGCATAACATCATGACAGCTGCCCTCTTGTAACAGTGAAAAGTTACAAGTGGATTATTTGGCACCCTAAAGCCATAATGCATAAGAGAAGAAAGCATTACTAGCCATGATGTAATTGTAGAAAATGTGCAGAAACAGTTCAATGACTCCAACTATGAGCATCCCCTTTGCTTTCTGCAAAATTGTTACAGCCTCCACAAAGTAGGATTTCTTATACCTGAAGACAAGCACTTTATCTACTGAGCTGAGAAAGCAACTTTCTCACAATGGATGTACCTAAAATATGTCTACAGAGTGATTTGTTTCATTATGGAATGCTATCAAAGATTTTTTATTATAGACAACACATGAAATCAGACTGCTGAAGTTGGTTTACTGACAATGGTTAGCTTTTAAAAGTTTTTTGACACAACTGAAAAGCCTTCAGAGTTTAATTTATTGTGTGTTGGAACATGGTTTGTGTCCTGTACTTACTTTTCAGGATCTCTGCATTATAGTGTGCTGCAGCAAATTTCAGGGAATCATCTGATCTTGTGTCAAAGCTGGAGTGTTCCCTGTTGTGTTGCCAACCTCCTTTCCTCAACTGACATTTGAACATTTTCCAGTATTCTGGGTAAAGTACTGTCATGAGTTCATCCACACTGGACACAGACCGCAACTGCTCTTCCAGGTCTTTACTTGCATGAGCCTGTCAAAGTAATATGCAAGATTAATTACTTTCTCTATTACACAGGGTTTGCTGGAAACTAGCCTGAAAAGCAACTCATACACTGTAAAATAAAGTCACGCTTAAAGGGGTCCTCATTATAAAACCTGCTTCTGTTAGTCGATGCCAACAGTACGATATCGACAAATACTGAAATGTTTCACTTCTGCCACTAATTCTTTATCACACTTGTAGTTGAAAACATCTTATGAGAGAGGAACTATAGAATTAAGCCTACACAAATACAGTTTGCAGATTAGAAAAATAAAAAAATGCATTTTTATCCTGGAAAGATAAGTTTTCATGATAAAACTTTGAATGCTTAAACCCCAAAATATTTAAATTATGTTAATTCTATTGAATATCACATACTCTTAAAGTAACACCAAATTTTTGCCCATTTTCCCTTAGTCCAGGAAAATCAAAATATGCAGAAATGCAAAAACAGTTATTAGGAAAAAAAGAAGATAATAATTCATGTTATTCTGTACCTTTTTAGGCAAAATCATTGTAAGAAAACTGTATTACAAAGCACTAATCCTTAAATCAGTAGGAGTCAAAGACTTTGGTAACTTTAAGAATCTAAACTGCACACTCCCTTTATGCTGAGAATTTCAACTGAAACTCATCAGGCCTCTAAGCACTACAGTCCTCAACTTGCTGTTTAAGGGGTAGCCTCAAAGCCTGTAATCTTCCTTTCTTATTCACGGGCCTCTACATAAGCTCATTGCAATTGCAGTTTTCTAAATGACTTGAGTTTTACATTCCAATTTATCACTTACCTGGGAGATTCCTTTGTTGTTTTAGATGAAACAATATATTGCATCAAAGGACTGTTATTCCCTGCCCACCTTTCTCATCCATGAATTTCTGACTTCCCAAAGGGAAGGGCAGTAAGGTGCAAGTATTGAAGAATGTTTAGCCACCTTCTCAGTCTACGTGGCCCTTAGATGGCAGTATGAGACACAAAATATAGAGCACACTTTGTACAAAGTGTGTCAACTGGCTGCAGACTCTGTTCAGTTTACTACAAAAATCAAAGAAACACTGGGCTGTAACAGTGTAAGATGTGTCTAAATGCAGAAGCGTGAAATTATAGAAACTGAAATTTAAGATTCCTTATCCAACTTCACTATTAAGAAAAAAGAAATTCCTTCCATTCAATGATTTTGAACATTATGTGAGTAAAATGGCTAGTTCTGAACTAGTTCACCTGAATCAAACTGCTCCTTGTCTCACAAACAACTACAAGTGTACAAAATGGCATGTGTGGTTGCATCCACTCCCTTATCTGGTGTCAAATACAGTAGAAACACCTCAGGGTAAGGCAAATTCACAGAATTAATAATCTTTACAGTTATATACAGAACTGTGTAGGTTGTGAGGCATCAGAACAGGTGGGCCAGAGAAGTTGTGGATGCCCAATCCCTGTAAGTGTTCAAGACCAGGCTGGATGGAGCTCTAAGCAATCTGGTCTAGTGGAAAGATGTACCTGCCCATGGTAGGGGGGCTGGAACCAGATGATCTTTAAGGTCTCTTCCAACCCAGGCCACTCCATGATTCTAATTCCTATTTAAAGTAATTTTATATGACAAAGTGTTATGAAGTTAGAAAAAATGTTTTCACTAAAGCCTTGCTAACCACAGTGTCATTGCAGACTACGTCCTGGGAGGCGTCAACCACCAGTTTGTCATCTCAGCAAAGTGATCATGCAGGGCTTGCCTCCATTGGGTCATCCCTGACCCAAGCCATGCATCAAGCAGTATCTGGGGGCTTTGTCTTAAAATTTGATGGCAACACAGAGCATGCCACACCCCTCCACTCGTTGCAGGATGTCATGCAGGGTCTCAGTTAGTGGGTTACAGAAAAAAATCCAAGCTTATCAAATAACTATATTGGCTACTGTCTGCTTGCCCTGAGAGGTGAGAATTGGAGGGTTTGAGTAGCCTCACTCCTGCCTGAGGGTGCTGCAGCACATGTCCCTTGATGGAAACAGGTAACTGCACCAGCACAGTAAATGCCAGTGTGGCAAACACATGTCGCCATGTGATGGGAATATGCATGTATATCCCGTCACAAGGCTGGATGCCAGTCTATTATGTAAAAGGCAGAGAAATAAAACTTGTGTTTAGACATCTAGTAGGTAATCCTCAAAAGTCCCAGCAGATCGTGGGTGGTAACATGGAAAGAGAATCCAAACAAAGGTTCACCACCTTTGATGAATCCTTTGAAAGTCTGTGTAGCCCACTGTAGACAAAATGTTGGCTATTGATGTTTCAGGTATTCAAGGAACAGGCCTAGAGCATCAGGAAAATAAGTACTGAAACTCAGTGTTTGTTAGTTGATAAGAAGCCAGGGCATGGGGCAGGAAAGATAGAGTATTTGTTAGAAATAATGCATGCTAATGAATTCCTCTTTGGTCAGGAAATCAAGTCATGTCTTTTCAGCTGGACACAAAATTTGTTATAAAACATGTATGAATAAAAGTCAAAAAATGAAGAAACTAGTTGCTTTAACTAAATATTGTACTGAATTTAAAAAAGTATTTTTTTATCCTGGATATTGTTTTATCCTGGATATTCCACAGGTTATAGTACCATGTGCCTACAACCTGGGCAACCTTGGCTGTGTATATCAACTGGGGAACAAGAGGGTGGAAAGCAGTGCCACAGAAAGGGATCTGAGGGACTTGGTCACTTGCAAGTTGAATATGAGTCAGCAGTGCCCTGGCAGCCAGGAAGGCCAACCATGTCCTGGAGGGCATCAGGCAAAACATCATCAGCCAGTCGAGGGAGGGGATTGTCCCGCTCTGCTCTGCACTGGTGCACTCACCTTGAATATCGTGTGCAGTTTTGGGCACCACAGAATAAGAAAGATATTAAGCCATTAGAAAGTGTCCAAAACAGGACAATGAAGATAGTGAAGGGCCTTGAGGGGAAGCTGTGGGAGGACCAGCTGAGGTCACTTGGTGTGTTCAGCCTGGAGAAGAGGAGACTGAGGGGAGACCTCATTATGGTCTTCAACATTCTCATGAGGAAAAGCAGAGGGGCAGGCACTGATCTATTCATTCTCTTGACCAGTAACAGGACTCAAGTAAAAGGCCTGAAGCTGAGTCAGGGAAAGTTTAGGCTGGATATCAGGATACTGGATATTACCCAGAGGGTGGCTGTGCACTGGAACAGGCTCCCCAGGGAAGCGGTCACAGCACCAAGCCGGACAGAGTTCAAGAAGCATTTGAACAATATTCTCAGGCACATGGTGTGACTCTTCGGGCTGTCCTGCATAGGGTTGGGACTTGGATTCGATGAGCCTGATGTCTCCCTTCCAACTCAGCATATACTGTGATTCTATAAAGTACTCACTTAATATGAAGAAAAGGAAAACAATTTCTGAAGTAAATATATAGAATTTTTTTTTTTTTTAAATCATCATTATTGCATCTGAATTATTTTGTGCTTAGTTTACTAAAGCCATCTGCTTGCAAAGATGGCTTCAATTCAAATTTACACTGTGGAAAACCAACTTGATCACTAGTGGACTTTTGTTCTCTCCCTCCTTCTGATTTAGAAAGAAAGGGAGGAGGAAATCCATATATCTATACTTAATACAATACAGCTGGTGCTCAGAATTAGGAAAAGAAAAAATAGAAAAAATACCTTGATTTTCCAATATGCTTACAGTGTTACCTTGACACACAAATTACAGATCTCTTCCTGTATGTATATCTATTTTTTAATTCCAGTAAATTACTTTCATCTGTGACAAACTGTTTAAAGGAACCTTTTTTTAAGGAGTTTGTGGACTGATTTAAGTTTAGAACAGACAAACGTTTTTGTTGACATAAAGATCAAATGAAATCTTAAGTTCTGGATGATTAGAAGAGCGTGTCCTGCATATCGTATAACCATCAGATCATTAAGGATTGTTAGAAAGAGTTTCTAAATTTCTAAGAGAGGAATGAATCTGCTTCTGTAAATGTAATAGTTGCTTGGCAAAATTTTTGATTTTGTGCAAATTTTGGTTCATTTTACAAAGACATACTGTCTTGGTCCTTATCTTTTATTCTTTTCTCTTTCTTAATTATGCATTGGCTTATAGTGTAGGACATTGGATTTCCATTGCAAAACAATTTTGACACTTCAACACCTATTTAGAATATATGACAAGACACAAAGTAACATCCACAAAAACATACTACAGATCAGAGGAGCTCTAAGTTTTCATTCATTTTATGCAAGCCCAGATTAGTTAAGTTTAGAAAGAAATATGGTTTGTAGCTGCAGTTATTGTCACCAAGCTACTTATTCCCAAATATTAAGTTCAAAGGGAAAAATAAAAGGTAATAGCAAAGTAACGAAAGTTGTGATAAGAAAAATTATACAACTTTTAGGACCAAAGAAAGTTTTTTGATAAATGTAAACAGTCTGTTGATTTTTATCTAATTAGTTACAGTGCACTCCTGATGAAATCCTGGACCAGCTACTCAAGGTTTTACTGGGATCTATGTTCAACATTGAGAAGGAAGAAGGAAACAGTACCAACAATGACTGCAGGAGGGACTTTTCTCTATCCTATGTTTTCTATTTTCTTTGCTCTTTCAAGTCAGTTAAGGGACTGGGCTTAGTGACCTTTTGTTTATTTATTTTTTTTTAACTCTAATTCCTCCCTTCATAAGTCTTCATGTCTGTCCTTTGGTTGGCCATTTTACTGTTTTTGTCACTTTTAGCTGTTATCAGTGCTGTCCTCCATGACCACCTAAAAATGTTAGAAGGTAAATTCTAAACAAAGACATTGACTAAGCCTTTAACTAGCCAGACTCTATAAGATGATAGATGATAATAACAGTTTAAAGATACAAGAATAAATGGAGAATACAATAAAGACATGTTTACTTCACTTATTTCATATTATTTCTCAAGGAACAGGGGAAATGACAAATACACCTATAAATAAAGCAGTAAAGCTTGATGACAAGCACTCTC